CTCTCTCTCTCTCTCTCTCTCTCTCTCTCTCTCTCTCTCTCTCTCTCTCTCTCTCTCTCTCTCTCTCTCTCTCTCTCTCTCTCTCTCTCTCTCTCTCTCTCTCTCTCTTTCCCCCTCCCCCCTCCATCCGGAAGAATTCTTCCGGAAGAGAACTGGAAGAGAATCGGGCGAAATAGGGGGGGGGGGGAGGTAACACAGTGTTCCGCTTTTACACTCCGCAATCTACTTGATGATAGAACTTAATAAAACAAATCTCGCTACGTAAACAACGGAGAAAGGAGACGGTAGTCGGCGGTAGTCGGCGCGATTCAAACAACAGCGAGTTTTCCTTCTCTTCTCCTTCGGTGTTCTCTTCTCCCGAAGCCAGCCAATGATGATGAGAGGATACCGAAAACGTCTCGGGCTCGAATACCATTAGATAAGATCAATATTGCTCAAAACACGGTGGAAGTTTAACGCGAGCACATTACACGGCATTTATATCATGAATATTCCGCCCCGGGGCTTCTTCTTCCCTCTTTTCGTTCTCGCCCGGCTTCTTCTCGTCCCTTGCAACAACCATCTCTCCGAGACAACCCTTCTTGTTATCTCGCGTTTGACTTTGCGCGCGAGCAGCCGGGTGTCGCCAAAACAGAAACTCCTTTATCTCGTTGTTAAACGGGTACCGAGTTTAAATTAATCCGAATTTAACATTTTTCTTTCTTTCTTTTTTCCTTTTTTTTTTTTACGTGTTGCCAAACGATAGAATAAAGATAAGAAATTAATAATTAATAAGCTTTATCTGATCGAAAGAAAAACGAGAAGAAAAGAAAAAAAATAATTTAGGGATAGCTCGCAACCGACTTTGATCGAGCTCTCGATCTTCGTTTTCGTATTGCAGGCTACTTCGCTGTTTGCAGCCCTGAAGCAGCAACAACAGCAACAGCAACCGCGCGACACTGTCCCCTCGTCGAGGGAGCGCGAGAATCGAGATCGAGATCGACTGGTGGCCCGTAACCGTGAGAACAACCGAAACGAGATAGGTGGCGGCGTGACGGAACAATCGCAGCCAACGCAGCAACAACAGCAGCAGCAACAGGAGCTCACGATCGAGTATCAGAGCAATGGAAAGCTCAGTCCCGCTGGGCACGCAGTGACAGCAGCACCCATGACCCAGCAAAAGCAGCCTATCATCACGCAGCAATCGCAACAGCCGAGCTCGGGGGCGCCTGGTCCCCAACCGAGTCCTCATCAGAGTCCGCAGGCCCCTCAGAGGGGTTCACCGCCAAATCCTTCGCAGGGTCCCCCGCCGGGAGGGCCGCCAGGGGCACCACCTTCGCAAAATCCCTCGCAGATGATGCTCAGCCCGGCTAGCGGCATCCACCAGATGCAACAACTGCTGCAACAACACATACTCAGCCCCACCCAACTGCAATCCTTCATGCAGCAACACTCGCTCTATTTACAACAGCAACAACAGCAACATCACCAGGTAGATGTTTTGTAAGATGATTTGTAACACGATTTTTTGAGAATCGCGTTACATGACATGATTTCTTTCGAGATGAAGGCTTAGAGAGAAAATACGTTTCTATTTATTCTATTTATATATATATATATATATATTTAGATTATTGAATATTTCGTATAATTTTACAATTATCGTTATTATACAAGTATAATAATTATATTGCATCGAATCGATAATATTCTTTCCAGGATTCCTCGTCGGAGCATGCGTCCAATCAGGAACGATTCGGCTACTTTTCGTCCCTTAAAGACGTAAGTATCCTATTCTTTGAATCTTCACTGTTCAAGCGAAGGAATCTCGGGTTTCGTTGCTCAATTCTTTCCAGTTTATTGTGCCGCTTCTCCAAAGAGTACATTAGCGAAGTTTGTCCTTTTCGTCGAGCAAGCATTGCATCTTGGCATAAGTTAAACATTTTTCAGATACTCCGGCGGGTAAACAGACCGCCTTTTATCACCCTCCCAGACCGCCATTGATAATTTTAATTATAAAAAGCGTCCGTTTGATGGGATACTTTCCTTCTCTTCCCTCCCTTCTCCTTCTTCCTTTCGCGACACTTGTACAAACATTCGGACAACCTTTTTAAGGACAACAACCGTTGAAAGAATGCGTCTCGAGCTGCTTCTCTCCTCCTCCGTCGCATTCTCACGTAAACGCCTCTCCTGAAACTATTTTCAGTTCCCCAAACATTTTATAATTTTCATCACGTTTCTGCGTCGAATTATCGAGATTTTTTTTTTTTTCGCTCTTTTCCTCTTCAACTTTTCCATCGTCGAGGAATTTTAACGGTTCGAAAATTTTATCCCACCTGGGAATTTCGATGCTCAGCAAACAGTGTCGCTAATTTCCAATCTATCGTCGCATGTGTCTGTGAAAGAAATTATTAATATCATGAGGATATTTCAAAATTTTTAATATCATTGAAATATTAATATATTCACGTGGATTTGTTCTTACACGTCTCCCGTAAACAGCGCAAAGGACGTTTTAACGCAAATACATATTGTCGGTTTCGCATACAAGCTCGATAGCTTCGATGGAGGCATCAAATATTTATTTAGCGGCATGGTCTGACCGGTGTCCTTTACTCTACAAATTTAGACAGTCCGACACTCGAACAGATTATTGCGCGAGAGCTCGTGCGAAAGACGATCTTAATTACAGAGAATTTAACGTTCTTTGATCGCGTTATCGTCGCGAGCCGATTCTCTTCTACTATCCTGACGCGCGTAAAAGGAAGAGAGATGGAAAAGGAAATTCTATTTCGATGAAGAAAGAAAGAAAGAAAGAAAGAAAGAAAGAAATCTCGTTCTGTCTCGTTAATCGCGCAATTCTCTCGTTCGTTCTATGATATTATAAGGGGCGTCTACTTCGGTGGGTTTGTTTTAAAATATCCTCCAGGCTTAGGGAAGAAGGGGGATGAACTTTGGAGGGGATGAGGTAAGCAATTAAGCATCGCCATCAGCCGGTTGTGTCTCGTTGTTTGTCTTCTGGCTACCCATCAACTGCCCCCTGTTGTCTTCTTCTTCTTCGCCTCGCCCTGCGAATTATCCGCGTCTCCCGTTAGATTTATTCAGCAGCGCCAAGATATGCAACTTTTCCATCCCCTCGGTTTTTTCTTCTTTCCCCTCCCCGCGGTTCGCAAATTTCGAGAACGAGAACTTTCTCATTTTCCGAGAGGAGTTGCGTCGGAATTAAATCCCGGGATAAGATAATTTGGACGAGCAAGTTCACGGGTGTTTCGATCCGAAATATTTGCAGCATCAACACCAGTTCGCCGAGCTGGGCAGGAAGAAGCTGGAGCAGGCGATACAGCAACTGCAGGAACAGTTGCAGTTGAACGTGATCCAGCAGACGCATCTGTTGCAAACGGCGGACAAGAAGAAGGCGTCCGCCCCGCTTCAACAATTGGCGCTTCAACAGCAACGTCTGATACAGCAATTGCAGATCACGCAGAGCCAATATCTTCTTCAACAGGGTCTGGGTCTTCAGGGTCACAATCCTTCTTCAGGTAAGCGCAATATTCGTTCTCGATACGAATCTCTTGGTGCGTCTTTTAAATTGTTATCTTCTTAATTATCGCATAATTCGCATAACATTTGGATGATACAATGGTTACGAGAACGAGTAAAACAGCCACAACTTCGAAAGTAAGTCGATGCTGGCCCCCTGATTTAAACGATAATCCATCGGACCAATCTCGAGTCCTTCCCATCATCCCCCGTCGAATAATCCCCCCGCATTTTCTCATTTTCCACTTCACCCTGGGCGAAACTTTCCGCGTGGAAGTGTTTCGGTTGCGTCGGATCTCGTTCCACCGATGTTTTTCTTCTGACGCGCGTCCAGAAAGCGAAGAGGAAGGGTGGAATAATAGGGTCGAACGAGAATGACAGAATCTCGTTCACGTGTGCTTCTTCGCGTGCTTCCGACTCGAAAATTGAACGAGCGAGAATTGAACAACAAAGTTGGAACACTCGGCGAAAGAAGAATTTCGTTATTCTTACAATTCGTTTGAAATTGTTATCTGTATGTGTTAATCTGAGATATTGGTGTGATTTCGAACACAGGTCTCCAACCTGGCGAAGGACTACCAATGTGGAAATCGGACACGTCGGATGGTCCGGAATCGCATCAGAACTCGAACGTTCCGAAATCCGTGGCTGGACTCAATGGTAAACAGAAATTCTCTCCCCTTCGTCTCTTGAGATGATCGAGAATCGAGATTTCTTCCCTTTACTGCTCTCTTGATCGCCTCCCCCTTTCCATTTCCTCATCGCTCTTGCGCTTCCTCTCGCAATTCTTTTCGTTCTTTTTTCTCTTTTGCTTTTTTTACTTGGAAAATGGCGACGTTCGTTTCCGGACTATCGCAGGACTTCTCAATTCGACAGTGTCGAGTCGGCGGTCGGATATGAACGGAACCACTCCATTGGACGAGAAACCGCTGGACGTTTCCTCCAACGACAAGGTTCATCCCCTGTACGGTCATGGGGTCTGTAAGTGGCCGGGCTGTGAAGTTATTTGTGAAGACTATCAAGCATTCCTTAAGTGAGTCCACCATAAATATTTTAAACTACTATGCTTAACTTATTCATCGCTCTACGAAAAACCAGAGATCCCGAATAGATTATCCCCTTAATCTTATTTTTCCTTCGATCAAAATAAATAAAATTTCGAATCAAATTTTTCGAATCCATCGATCCCAGAAAAGTTTGAGATCTCTGGTATGTATATATACATATATATATATCGAAAAGTAGGTAAATCCCAGCGCAGGGGTGGAACAAGAGTCATCGTTGGAAGAACGAGAGAGAGAGAGAGAGAGAGAGAGAGAGAGAGAGAGAGAGAGAGAAGAGAAGAGA